TATGGAGACAGGACACATCCCTGGCGTACACCCTTCCCAATTTTGAACCATGCAGTGTTCCCTTGCTCTGTTCTGACGACTTCCTCCTGGTCCAAGTATAAGTTTCGCATTAGAACGAAATAATTTGTTTGATTGTCCTGTTTGTGAGGATTACTGGGAGTAAGAATCAACTCAATAGTAAAGGGTTTGAGCTTCTATTTTCTTTTACTATTTTAACAAGAAAAGACATTTGAAGGAGAAAAAAAAGGTGTTTCCCTTACAATTTACCAAGAGACTTTATTATATTTTATTATATTATAATTTTTTCCAAGGAAATTATGAATGATACCAATTTATCTACATGTTTGACAGCTAGTTTGAACTGTGATGTTGAAAAAGAGCACCGAACATACCATGGATGTCCAAGAGAACCAACTGAAATGTTATGGAGATGATGTTGCTGAAGTGCTCTTTGGAGGCAAAAATGATGAGACTTCACCTCACATACTCTGGACATTTTGATAGGAGATGCTGTTCCTTAGAGAAGTTGGGAAGGGTGGAGGGTTGATGAGGAAGAGGAAGGCCCTCAACCAGATGGATTGATACTGTGACTGCTGCAATGGGCTGTTGTGTGTCAGAAAGTGCAAGGATGTCACAAGATAGAACGAGGATCAGATCTTTTGTTCAAAGAGTCACTATGAGTTATGTTCAACTCGATTGTACCTAACAACAATAACAACAACAGGTTCCTGCTTGTGGCCAGTGAATCACAACAAAATTATAATAAGTGAAAATTTTGCCTGGTAAAGGACTGCACATTTATTTCTATCTGGGTAGTAACAGAACAAGTAAAAATTTTACAATGTGTGGAGGGTGGGAAGAAAATATGAACAACTTAGAAGCTTTTTCTGTTTTAGTGTATCCTATTTTTAAAGAGTATAATTTATCTATCAAGTCCGATTGTGTTCAAGGAGCTCTGGTGGTGTAGTCTATAATGTGTTTCATGGCTAATCAAGAGTCTGCATGTCCTAGGGAGACACTAACAGCTCCATGAGAAACTGAGAGTCCCCTCCATTTGCAACTAATGGTCTGAGAAACCCTAGAGGGTGACTATGAGTTAGAACTGACTTGACAGTAGTGAGTGAGTGAGTCATAACCATGCATGGTCTGAAGCAACATCACTATTTTTATAGCTAGGGTTATCAGCAACAAGCATTATGAAGATTATACAACCTTGCTTGCTGAAAGCAAGCAGAAAATCAAGGACTACAGCCTTCAATATGGATTAGATCCCTCAACTTCAAGAAGATAAAAATCTTCCCTATTGAGCTAAAAAGCAACATCATGATAGATGGAAAAAAGGATTAAAATTGTCAACGGATTCATTTGGATCCATAATCAACAACCCTCACAATAGCAATCAGAAGATCAGGAGACGTATAACATTGAGAAAATCTGCTGTCAGGAACCTCTACACTGTCCTAAAGAACAATGTTGTCAGTTTAAAGAATAACGAGTGCTTGATTCAAACCATGGTCTTTCCAGTTGCATACTATGTGCCTGAGAGCTAGACAATAAATAAGGATGACAGAATAATCAATGCTTTTGAGTAGTGGTGATGGTGGTAAAGAGTATTGAATGTCTCATGGACTGCCAAACAACAGATATGCCGTGGAGAAAGTGAAGTCAAAGTGTTCCTTAAAGGCAGGATGGTGAAGCTTCATCTCGCATATCCTGGTCATGTTGCTAAGAAAGGCTATTCCTTGAAAAGGGTAATCACACTTTGAAAGGTGGAGGGTCAGTGAAAGAGAGGAAGATCCTCAGGAAGATGGATTGACATTGTGACTGAAGCAATGGACTCAGCCCTGTCACAGATGATGAGGATGGCCTTGGATAGGATAGGGTTGAGATCAGTTATTCATAGCAACAGTATGAGTTTTACTTGACTCCATGGTTTCTAATAACCTAATAAGAGCATGCTATTTGGAACATTAAAGTATTTGTTGAGATAAATCAAAGGGGTCGATCTACTTGCATTATTTGCTTAACAAGACGACTGAAATAAGTATGCTGAAAAGATATAACATTAACACATATTTCCCAATTTTATACCATGTAATATCTATTTTTTTATGGTAAAATTATCACTTTTTTGTCTACATATAAGTTCTTCACGGGCAAAATACAGTGTTTGGAAATTCCTTTCTTTTTTCAATGTTATCCATAATTTATTGTGATCCACACAGTAAAATGCCTTCGCATAGTCAATAAAACAAAATCAATCTTTTTCCCTGGTATGTCTTGCTTCGAGTCACAATCTATCTGTTATTAGTAATGATGATTTTGAGTCCCTTTCCTCTTTTGACTCTACCATCAATATCCGGCAAGTTTATGGCAACAAACTGCTGCAAATAATTTTTAAGTATCTTCAGTAGAATTTTGTTTGTAGGCAATGTAGTTTCTGTTGGAAAATATCTTTTTTTCCCCATTTTCATAAGCAAATACGTCTTTGTTCTAGAGAAAGTTTCAATCTCTTGATATTTTTAATTTTCTTAGTTTTTAGTAACTTTTGGCGTTCTTCATGTATAAAATTTTATGTCATCCTATTCTTTAGTCATTAGTATTTAATGCATCACATCTTTGCTTGAGATGGTCTCTAAATTCAGATAGAATATATTTAAGTTCTACTTTGAAGATTATTCAGAATTTATTGAAATAGTGTACCAATAGGGAACAATGAGAAATACAATCTGGATTCATAAGAGGCTGTGGTGTGACGGATATTAGTACTGATGTCAGATGGCTGAAAGCTGAAAATGATAAAAATATGTTTACTTCAGTTTTATTGATTATTAAAAGTTATTTGACCATGTGGATCATGTAAAAATGAGAGCTAATATTTAGAAGACTGAGAATCACAGAATATTTAATTGTACTCATGTAGAATTTAGAGACCAAGAAGTCATTGCCAATGGAACAAAAGAATACTGCATGATTTAAAAGCTGGAAAGATGTTCATGAGGACAGTTTCCTTTCTCTACAGTGATTCGATCTGAATGCTGAAAAGACAACTTAAGAAGATGTACTATGTGAAGATGAATATGGCATTAGGATTTGGGAAAACTCATCAGCTACACAGATGACATAACTTTGCTTGCAGAAAGTGAAGAGAACTTGAAACACATGCCATGAAAGATCAAAACCAATAGACTTTTATATGAATTACATCTTAAATATAAAGAAACCAAAACTCTTCATCACTGAGTCAATAGATGACATCATGACAGATGAAGAAAAGATTAAAGTTGTCAAAGATTTGATTTTGCTTGGATCCACAATCAAGACTTATGGTAGCAAATGTCAAGAAATCAAAACAGGTATATTGCATTGGGAAAATCTGCTGTCAAATACACTTCAAATAGACTAAAGAGCAAGATGCCAGTTTAAAGACTAAGGTATGCTTCACTTAAGTCATGATTTTTTTAAAATATATTGGTTTGCATAAAAAAGTCATAAACATTATGTTTCATTTATATTGTTGTTGTTGCTGTTATGTGCCGTCGAGTCATTTGCGACTCATAAGGACCCTATGTACAACAGCCCTAAATCCTGCTCTATCCTGTGCCAATCACACTGCCTCTGACACACCCATCCCGATTACCCCAGTCACTGAGTCAATCCATCTCATAGAGGGTCTTCCCCTCTTCGGCCGTCCCTCCACCCTCCCAAGCATGATGTGCCTCTCCAAAGACCTGTCCCTCCTTGCAACATGCCGAAAGTATGTCAGACGAAGTCCCAGAATCCTTGCCTCCAAGGAGTAGCTTGGTTTAACCCTCTCTAGGATGATTCGGTTTGTTTTCCTGGCAGTCCAGGGTACATTCAATACTCTTCTCCAGCACCACAGCTCAAAAGCATCAATTCTCCTTCTATCCTCCCTAGTCATTGTCCAACTTTCTGATGCATAACAAGTGATTGCAAAGACCATGGCATGTATGAGGCGCATCTTAGTCTCCAAAGAGACACCGTTGCTCTTGAGTAGAGAGGTCCCTAACAGCAGACTTTCCCATCACAATACGTTTCTTTATTTCCTGGCTGCTGGTGCCAAGAGTGTTGATTGTGGAGCCGGACAAACTGAAGCTGTGAACAATCTCAATCTCTTCACCATCCATCCTGATGCTACCAATTGGTCCAGTGGTGAGAATCTTTGTCTTCTTGACATTGAGACTCAATCCATAATGAAGGCTGCAGTCTTTGACCTTCTGCAGCAAGTGCATGAGGTCCTCCTCGGTTTCAGCAAGCAGGGTTGTGTCATCTGCATAATGCAGATTGTTAATAGATCTTCCACCAATCCTGATGTCACAATTCTCCTCATAGAGCCCAGCCTCCCAGATAATCTGCACTGCATACAGGTTGAAAAGGTATGGAGACAGGACACATCCCTGGCATACACCCTTCCCAATTTTGAACCATGCAGTGTTACCCTGCTCTGTTCTAATGACTGCCTCCTGGCCCAAGTATAGGTTTCGCATTAGCACGGTTAAATGTTCTGGGATTCCCATTCTTCTCAGAGTCAGCCACAGTTTGTTATGATCCATACAGTCAAACGCCTTTGCATAATCAATGAAACACAGATAGACATTCTTTTGGTATTCCCTGCTTTCAGCTAAGATCCATCTAACATCAGCTACAATATCCCTAGTACCATGACTCCTTCTAAACCCAGCCTGGACTTCTGGCAATCCTCTGCTGATGTGCTGTTCCAGTCATTTTTGGATAATCTTCAGTAGAATCTTGCTTGCATGTGAAAACAATGATATTGTTCTGTAGTTTCCACGCTCTGTTGGGTCACTCTTCTTTGGAATGAGAACAAATATAGATCTCTTCCAGTCAGTTGGGCAAGTGGTTGTTCTCCAGATTTCTTGGCACAACTTGGTGAGCACATCCAAGGCAGCATCTGTTAGCTGAAATACGTCAACTGGTATACCATCTATTCCTGGGGCCTTTTTTTTTCTTTTTTTTTTCTATTTCCTTCAAAGCAGCTTGAACTTCTTCCTTCATCACCATAGGCTCTTGCTCATATGTTATTTCATTAAATTCTTCTGTGTCTGTCAATTCCTTTTGATACAATGACTCAGTATATTCCTTCCATCTTCTTTTAATACTTCCTGTATCATTTCATATTCTGCCTAAAGTATTTCATTCATTTATATACATTGTATTTATAACTACTCCCTATGCATCTGAAAGTCAGATAATGAATAAAGAAAATTCAAGTAGAATTGATGCCTTGGAATTGGAATTTGGTTTTAGAGAATAGTAATAAATATCCCAAATGACCACTCCAATTTGTCTTGGAGGATATGCATCCAGAGTGCTCCATAGAGGCAAAGATGAAGAAATACTAGGAAAAAGACATCCTGCTAGGAAAGACACAGGGTCAATGAAAGAAGGAAAGATCCTCAGTGGGATGGATTCACACAGTGACAACTACAGGGGACCTGAGCATGTTAACATTGTGAGAATCGTGCAGCACAAGGTTCTGATCTGATTCCCATATGGTGGCTATGAATAGCATTTGACTCAATAGCATCTAACAACAACATAGCTAAGGTAGTTGTTGTTGTTGTTGTTGTTGTGTCACTTTGAATCAGAACTAACCCAGAGCTGACCCTGTGAGGATCTTTAGAGGCTATAAATCACATGGGAAAGTGGATCTTCAGAGGCTGTAAATCCCATGGCAGAAGATAACCCATCTTTCTCCTGCAGAATGACTGCTGAATTCAAGCCACCTGTCCTTGAGTTAGCAGTGCAATGCTTTACCACTAGGCCACCTTAGCTCAAGGTCCATTTCATCTCACTAATACCTAGCATGTTGTTGCTCTTTGGAGGCAAGGATTTTGAAGCTCTGTCTCAAATTCTTTGGGCATGTGGCCAGAAGGGACCAGTCCTTAGAGAAGGACATTATGCTTAGTAGGGTGGAGGGACAGTACAGGAGAGAAGACCCCCGGATGAGATGGATGGATTGACACAGTAACTGTGGTGATCAGGGTAGGTGAATCAGAGACAATGAAATTGGTTCAAGATAGAGCAAGGTTCAGAACTATTGTGTGTGTAGGGTCGTTATGAGTTGTACTCAACTTGACAGCACATAACAACAACAACAAAATGTCTAGTATATGGATCTTCATGCATTTCATTTCACTTTTTACAAACTGATACCTTGTGTTATTCAATGCTCCAGTTTTTACAGATGTATTTAGCTCTGTCTTCTCATTTTGAACCTTATCACATCAGCATATATAAGTCTTGAAAGCTTTACTCAACTTATGTCATTAAATTTTACTATTTCGAGGAGGCATGTCTACCCTAGTCATAGTCCGAGTGTCTTCTAATTTGGGGAAAGAGAGGGTCTCATCGTCTATCACTATATCGGACAATGTTCTGTTGCTATTCATAAGGATTTACTGACTGGGTTTTTGTTGTTGTTCCAGATGTAGACTATCAATACTTTCTAGCCCATTTAGGCTGGAATTTCTCTTTAATTCTTTCAACCATGGGTGACAATGCTGATATTGGAAATACTGGTGTCACAGCTTCCATCATCACAGCAACACACATCACCGCAGGATGATAAACTGAAAAATAGTACTTAAGATGGATATGCAATTAGCATACACAGTAATAACTTTAAATGATGGGAAAATGAAAGTAGAAGACTGATGATTGTAATCCATGCAATGGAGTGATATGACCCTAAGTAGAGACAGTAAGATTGGGGGGAAAGTAACAATTTGGAGAATATTTATGGATAGAATATTTTTCAGAAGTTGATAATTAATTGTCTATGTTACTATGCAGTATTTCATCTTAAGAAGTAAGGTGACTGAGAAAAACTTGATGAAATATGTTTACAGCATTGAAGCCTATGGGGGAGAGAATAGTTTAAAAGTATTATATTTTAGGGCATTATGTTTATCGTAGGAGTATGCAATGAGGGTTGCAGAGTGGATTATATTCGGGGGTGGGGG